GTGATATTGTTACATTTTCAAACATCTTTCCTAGCCTTCTTAATGTAGTCTAAAGTAAATAATATTACACTATTTTATAGATGAGGAAATCAAGGTGCAATACACTTAAATGACTTGCTCAGAACCATTCAGTTGTAAGAGGTTAAGATTCAAAGTGATCCCACGTCTTACAAACTTATAAATGTTCACTTGCTTGATTCTTTAAGATTTAAAGATCTGAGATCATAAAGCAATCAGTTGTAGAATAAACTACATAGGTTTTTATGTTTTTACATCTCTGCAACCAGCAGCTAACCCTGCCTTGATTGCAAGTTCACTACAGGCAAAAAAGGAGTCTTCTCTTTCCATGTTCAGAACTTCAAGCAAAAGAGAATGAATGGAGGAGGGAGAACATGACCACAGGAAGAAGGATCACCAAAACCAAGCAAATATCAACAACAGCAAAAAAGCAGAAATCCAAGTCTCCCAACACTGATGGGAGGCTTAGAAGGTGTCAGGCACCATATACGAATTCACTTACTGAATTCTCACAACAGTGTTATGTGGCAGATATTATTGACCCTACTTTACCCACAAGGCAATCAGAGCAAGGAGTTAAAGAATATGCTTTTGTAAGTGGCAGAGTTAAGATGGGATGTCAGGCAAGCTTGATGACAGAGCCTGCACTCTGAAGTATGTCACACTCCCTTCCCTCTAAGGGTCAGCAGAAAGAAGGTACACTGGCCCAATTCTCAGGACTTTGTGAATAATGAAAGCTTTAAATACATGTACCAAACATGAGTACATATAAAAAAGGACTAATTCTACTTTTTTTTACTTCAAGTTTATAGGTTTATAATCCACTCATTTTGAACTAATTTAGCGTGGTGTGTATTAGCTCAGTTATTTCAACTTTTCTTATGGGCTCTTATAGAGAGGATTCATGTGCACAGTGCAGTGGTGCTATCAGAGAGGAGCAGAGGATGACTAAAAGAAGAACATGACAGGCAGGAAGAATGTTCTCAGGACATGGTGAGTTCAATCTGGATACAGATTTAGGTTTCATAATAGGGTTTCTATATTTCATAATAACCGCTACTCTGAGATAAAACAATAAACCCAGTACATGTGGTACCCGAGAACCATCTAAGATGGTACAAGTTCATGTGGGTGGTTGGGTATACAGGTCAAACCATGCAGACAGAGGGTGATTAAAAGACAGGTTATTAATTCTCAGAAATAGATCATAACAGAAAAAGGTGGCATGAGTCAGGCCAAGTGGGATACTGGACTAGATTCCAGCTGATGGCAAAGAGTCTAAGGCTTGTGCAGAAGTCTGAGTGTCAGAGTTGAGTTCTGGGGATGAAGTGGGATTATCCTTGGCCCTATATGCTATGGGGAAGAAGAAACTTATATATCCCCTGTCTCTGATTTCAATTGGTATAAAAACTAGGTAATACTGTGCTTTAGGCAAAGTAATCAAGGCACCAAACTTCAAAGTTGGGAAAGACAGTGGGAACAATGCAGGGGTTTGGAATGAATGTGTCAAGTGGTCTATACTTACAACTTTGGTCAGTATGATCAAGCACAAGAATGTAACGATGATAATAAAATATAGACCTGTAGGTCCATATTTGTGCAAATATTTATGTGCGTGTATACCAAAAATTTCAAAGAAGAAGGGAAAATGAGAAGGCTCCTAGGATGCCATCCTTGGGCAGAACACACTCTTCTTTGGCCCTTCTCTGGTGTATCTGCTCCTACTCTTTTGTTGAAATGTCAAGTTCATGTGCCACTTGACTCTGCCCCATATTTTTTACTCTACCACATAGTCAATATAGTGAACATGAATATTAAACAAGGCAATTTCTGGTAATTAGTTTCCTCAACACAATGTTCACTTTTTTTTGGCTTTAATGGGTCAATAAAGTGGCAAATTATGCCAGACATAACATAAATGACCCTGCCAAGAGGAATCTATCCAGAAAAACCTGTTGTGACCTTAAAATGGCAGTCTTCTCTTTCAAGCCTGGGAGAATGGTGGTTGACTAACTGATATTCAAGGTCAATGGTGAAAAGTCACCAACAATGTTATAAGGATTAACATTGCAAAAACATTCCAATAATCAGAAAACTTATTTGGAAAGATTATATGGAGAGGCTCAGCATCAAGACAGTGTATGGAAACTGATCACTAATTCATCTTTAATTTTTAAGATCACTCTCTCTCACTTTTCTCTTCTCTCTCTCTCTCCTCTTGCTCTCTACTTTCTTCTCATTTTATGCATAAAAATGCAACCAGGCTGAACTAAAGCAAATTGGTTTAATTCCCTGGAGGGAACATGAACAAATTTTCCCAGCAACTTTCTACTAGAGGCATTTGTGTATGGGTATGTGGATGGAATGTGGAAGCAGTCAGCTACGTAAACCAGTAATCAAATGAAACATTACCCATTTCAAAATGCCCTAAAACAGCATTAACATGACCAATTAAAATGCTGGATATGGGAGAAAGGAAAATGGTAAGAAAAGGAAAAGGAAGGAAAGCAAAGTAAAGACAGTAAACATGTGTTTGTGCACATAGGCGTAGCAGGGGGGTGGAGATTGTATGAAGGAAGAATAAAATCTAAGGGAGTCCATTTCCTTTTAAAGGTAATCTGTGACAGGACTGCAAGCAGGGGTCTCTTTGATGGGATAGAAGAAAGGAGTAAAGAATACATTCAATAATTTCATCAAATTGAAATTTCAGCAGTTTACTTAAATTGCCCAACCATTAGACACTTACAATGGCACCTGTATGTGCCCACTTGGAGCCCGTTCTAAAATAACAGGTAAATAGAACATGATAAGTAATAAACATTAAGAGTTCTTTTTTCTTTTATGGCTGAAACATCTATTGAAAAACTGGTCCTTCAAAAATTACCAAGGAGTTGTACGTTCCTCCTTTATCAGACACTAGTTCCAACAAATACTGAACACTGTGCAAGCCTTGATGCTAGGGTTACAGAGAGACAGTGAATAATCTTACAGACCTCAAATAGCCTCCGAGTCAGGCTCAGAAGCTAACCAAGCCTTCCATGTTTTGTGACATGACCGGTGACAGGAGAGGCCCACTTCCCTTCTGTCCAAAAGCTATGAAACTACTCGTGTTAAGATGATTTCCACAATCCTGTGGACTTTGCTCTGCCTACAAGCTGGAATGGAGGGGGCCATCAGACTCCTCCACATAGGACGTTCACTTGGCCTTAGAGCTGATCCAGACTGCACACCTGAGGAATACCATGTACTTACTCTAGTTAGCTATTTCCCTTGCATAGTCTTTTCTTGAAAATCTAACCATGGGCATGAAAAAGAGGAGGATATCAGCTGGCCTTGACTAGCTCACCTTTGTCTCTTATCACAGTTCCCTACTATGCTATCCAAGACCCGTCTACCTTCTCTGATTTACCTGCCATTACATACCTTGCCTTAGGTTCTGGGTATATGTGATACCCTGTCTCTTAAGACACTCCCTTTTCTTTGCTTTCACAGTTACTCCCTCTTTCCATTTCTGTGTTAAAAAATTCTTTCCACATTTACTTTTTTACTCATACTCACTTATAAGCACTATTAAGAAAGCGGTAAAGTGTAAACAACATATTAATTTACAGTATGCCAACAGCAATAAGTTCAACTGTATCTTAACTAAAAATATAAAATTAAAAACAAAAAATTAAAAATATAAACAGGTGTGTTTCAGTCAGTTTGCCTGTTCTGTTACCTGCTCTGTCTCTGGTGGATCCTCTCACCCTCCTGCACATCTGGCTTGCACCCCCGTTCTTGTACAAATAAATAAATCTTTAAAAAAAAAATATATATATATAAACAGGGGCCTCTCTGGTGGCACAAGGGGTTAAAACGCAACCTGTGAAGCCATCAGCAGCCACTGCAGCATGAGTTCGATCCCCAGCCAAAGAGATGACCACATGGTGCAGCAGACCTCTCCTGACTTACCCACTGCTCCCCTCAGCAGTGTATTTCAGTCAGTCTGCCTGCTCTGTTCTCCAGTCTCTCTGGTGAATCTACTCATCCCCCACACCTCTGGCCTATACCCCAGTTCTTGTATGCATATATAAATAAATCTTTAAAAAAAATAAAAATATAAACATAAAAGTATGCATTTATAGCTACTTAAGTATATAGACACTAGTATCTACTAGCTATGCTAAATACTAAGTATGTAGATGTTACTATATATACTAAGTATATAGATACTAAGAGTTAAATTAAAGGCCTCCCCGGTGGCACAGTGGTTGAGCGGCGCAGTGGTTGAGCGCTGGGTTGAGAAGCTGCCCGCAGCCTCTGCAGCGCCGGTTCAATCCCCGGCTGCTCCCCGGCCACCGGAGGAGGGTCCCACATGGCGCACAGACCTCTCCTGCCGCCCGCTGCTCCCCTCAGCAGTGTACTTCGGGCCTTCTGCCTGCTCTGCTCCCTGCTCTGGCTCTGGTGAATTCTCTCACCCTCCCATGCTTCTGACTGTACCCAGTGCTTGTATAAATAAATAAATAAATAAAACTTAAAAAAAAAAAAAAGAGTTAATTTAAATACCTGCTTTCTTTTATTTGTCCAAATTTCTTACTATGATGTAAGTATAAATGATTTAAGTATAAATAAAGCACACAAAAAATAAAAAACCTTCATTTTCATGTAAGTGCTATATATTTACACAAGGTTGCAACTTACAAACACAGTGACAATCCTGAGCCAAAAGTGTGGTGCTAATTAAGTACTGTTCTGTGCCCCCAGGTGTGTGAGGAAGGACTTATAAAGCACTCATATCAGACATAAGTAATAAAGCACTAATAAATTCATAAAAACAATGCATGTCAGTTCTCTCATGCATTGTTCACATCCCATCAGCATCTGCTTTGGAATTTCTTCTCTTGAAAAGCTGTTTATGGCTGCTGGTGGTCCCAGATCTCTTTGGGGGTACAGGTGGCTTTCTCAGTGGTCTAGCCGACTGTAGCCCAGTCCGTGATTACCTGCACAGGAGTGGCGATCTTGGTAGAAGCCATCCCCACAGGTGGACACGCACTGCCTGTGCCGCATCAGCAGAGGAGGATGGCAGGATGAGCACTCGTGTCCGTTGGTGCATGTGGAACACTGAGGCTGGCAAGCTGGCTCCAGACAAGGTTGGGAGAGAGAAGGGAAGTTTTGATTAGCCCAAAGATACACCCCAGTGCCAGTGCCTATGTAACCCAATTCTGAGGCTCTGGGGTCAGAGATAAAGAGGGGCAGGAAAATAACCTTATCAGCCTTCACTTTTATAGTAATTTCATGCCAGGCACCACACAAAACACTTCACATTATTGATGTATTTTACCTTTACAGTAACTTTATGAGGGAGATATTAATAATTCTAATTTTACAAGTTAGGAACAAGCTCACCGAGATCAAGTAAGTTGTCCAAGTCAAATGAAGCTGGCATTGGAAGCCAACTAGTTTGACTCAGAAGTCTGTGTTCTTATCCTCTTATCCATTAGCTCCCAATAGCTTTCTCACATAACCAGTTTGCAAGAATCACCCTTATGGCAGAGACATAAATAACTTTTTAAAAAGCTGAAGATTTTGAGTTAAGAGAGAAATGAATAAACACAAAAATAATAGAAACAAAGTTAACCTTTATGGAGCCCTGACTATCTCCTGGACCCTATTCTAGACACTTTACATTTACTGATAAACTAAGTCCTCATAAGAATCTTCTCAGGAAGGTACTAGTGCTACCCCACTTTACAGATAAGAATACTGAGGCACAGAGTGGTTAAATACTCACAGCCAGAGCATGAATCTATCTACTCTTAAATGGATAATTAACCCATGCATCAAAAATAGGGAGAAAGTAACTTTGATGTGGCCTCAAGCAAGCCAAATTCTCCAAGGTAAGATCTCTTCAGATGTTGATTTTGGTTTTTTCTTTATTATTATTAGTCTTTTTCCTGGTCCCTTATTTAGGTTTTCTAAATTCCTGCTATGAGTAAGACCATCCGGTATTTTTCTTTTTCTTTCTGGCTTATTTCTCTGAGCTTGATGCTATAAAATCAACAAATTACTATAAACCGGACACACTACGGGGGTTGGGGGGGGGGCGGGAGGAGAGGAGGCATTAGGGCCAAAATAACGGGGGTGGAAATTGTATGGGGAATATAACCAAAATAAAAATGCACACATTGTGCAAAAATGAAAAATAATGTAAGAATTATATAAAATAAAATATTAAAAAATGGAAATACATGGCTAAATAGTAAAAATTTTGCAAATTTCAAAAAAATTGTTCTTGATTTAAAAAAAAAATCTCTTCAGAGGTATAAGAATTTTGAAATGTACATGAACCCATTATAGATCCTCTTATAACCCACAAGAGATAAGTTTTATTAACAATTATCTGTGTGCTGCTGAGCAAGTCACTTTTCTCTAGCCCATAAGTTCTCCATTTGCAAAATGGGAAAGTTCTATTAAAAGATCTTGGAGGTACATGTCAATTCTCAATTCCTACCTTGAATTAACTAAGAGTTTTAATAAATGAATCCCAGCATCCTAGTGATATCAATATTTTTGAAAGTGTTCAAAAATGAAAAATTCATCTGTGATTACCTAGTTAACATCTCACCTCCATATCTCCTGTTTCACAGTAAACATTGGAACATATGTTAGAAGAGACCCACAGTAAAGAGGTCAAGTAACCTGTGGGTCATGTTACAACCTTCTAATGGTTTTTGGAAGTTGTACATTTCCTGCATTCATAACCCCTTCCTTGACAATAGTGAGCCTTGGTCCACTTCTGGGTTATTGCATGGAGCCATACCTAAACAGACAGCACCAGCTTGGTAATATCCCAGACCACAGCTGTGCACACACCGTCCATTCCACAGCAACTTTGTGGGGTCCTGGCAGAGGTCACAGTGGTTTGGAGACTGTGAGCAGGTCAAGCAGTCTGGGTGGCAATGAACTACAATTAAGGACAAAGAGAACTCAGAAAAGTCATATGATTTATTTTACATCCTTCCAAAAAAATAATTTATTGGATATAAGGAGCTGCATAGGATGTGAAGAACAAAAATATGAAAAAGGTCCCTAAATAGCAAAAAACTAGTTTTAGAGCAAGATTTCAAAGAACCTTTCCTTAAATGAAATACTACCACTGATAATCCCAAATTGAAGATGCTAAAAACATTACTGAAATGTTTTTGTTTTTGTTTTGACCAAATATTAATTCTTCCCCCTGCTGGAATGCCTCAAGAAGCAAGAATGATAAGCTCCATAAAAAAATGATTGAAACAGAAGTACACAATAATTTGTGATTTCTCAGATTTTTTCCTTGAGCTTTGTGTGCATAAAAAAAATTAAGACATAAACCCTCCAATTTAAAAAAATACTATTAAAAATAGTCAGTTTTTTTCTCTAGAATTCCATTTTTCATTCCCAGTAATTGGGATTGTCACTAACATAATGGCAATTGTCAAATAAAAACTTCTTTCAGGTTTTCAAGTTGTCAAGGATATAATTTTCAGGGTATAGAACATGATACTATGCTATTTATGTTAATAAAATATTTGTTTGAAAATTCCAGGGAGGCCACTTTGGAGATAGTAACAAAATGAAACCATAAACTTGCTTTGCTTTTCCCATGATAAAGTCTTTGCAGAAACACTGTGATTAGTCAAAATAAGTTGAGTGCAATGAGTACAACTGCCAATATGGAAAACTGTGACACACTAATGAAAACAATTAATTATAAAATATGAATGGAAGAAAATGCTACTTCTTTAAGAGAGACTAAGCTTATAGGCAAATTACTGCTCAGCCAGAGTAACTCCACTTTGTGCCAACAATTATTAACTGGGACTAATTCAACCCCAGGTGATTTGAAAGCAGAGTTGCAGAACAAGTAGATAAAATTTTCTCTTAGAAGAAATTAATAAGTATTTAAACTTCAATAACCACTGGAGAACTCCAAAAGGAACCATCTGTTTAAAAGTACACCTTAAAAAAATGGACATCCATGACAAACTCTCATTAATTGCTTCTATATTTTCAAAAATGGAGCAAACCATTTATTTTTCTCCAAAGAAGAAATATAGATGGCCAACAGGCATGTGAAAAAAAGTGTCCAACATCACATTACAGGGAAATGCAAACCAAAACCACAATGAGATACTAACTCACTCCTGTCAGAAAGGTCCATATTTAAAAAACTAGAAACAACAAATGCTATATGATTTTTACAGTTATGATGCAAGGTAGATAAGGCACATTTTATTAACAAGAAAATTAAAATTTAGAGAGAGTCAATGACTTGCCCAAGGGCATGTACTCATAATCAGTTAATTTGGTAATGGTATGGACAAAAATTAATAAGCATTTGTTATAAAAATCAGGAAGAAGCAAACAAACCAACCCAGTGGGTGGCTAAAGAAAAGGAAGTGGGGGGCCTCTATGGTGGCATAGGGGTTAGAGTCAAAGCTATCAAGTTATCCCACACTGTGGCCTGAATTTGATCCCTGGCCATGGAGCTGACCCACACGGTGCAACAGACCTCTCCTGTCTCGTCCTCTGCTCCCCTTAACAGTATATTCCAATAGATTCGCCTGTTCTGCTCCCCATTCGGTCTCTGGCGAATTCTTGCAACCCTCCCATACCTCTGGCCTACACCCCAGTTCTTGTAGGCATAAATAAAAATAAATCTTAAAAAAAAAGAGAAATGAAGGAAATATGGGTAGGGAAAGGATCTATGAGCTTTGGGGCAGTACAGATATGCTAGTAGAAATAAATTGGACCAGGACCCACCTGATGTGCAATCTGGACAGCAGAGTCCCTTCACCACACGAGCCAGTGTGGCCATTGGACATGGTGGACAAGAGGGCTCATAGCAAGTCACCTGAGCCCCCTGGCACTCACACACCTTGCAAGGGCCATCCTCCCACTTCTCCCCCTCCTATATGAAACAGTAAAGAATGGCATTGTTACCAGAGTGCAGTGATCAGAAGACAGTTTGCTAGTGGAAAACTTAAAATTTCCACAAAGGACAAAGTAAATACTCCTGATCTGTACCATGTCAGACCTACCCTTGAAATAGAACAGTAACAGAAGTGTCCTAATTTTAAAAAGGGCAGTTTTTCTCTTTTTTTGTTCATAATTGGTTGATTTTAATGTAGAATGCAGGCAGAAAGGTAAACTGTGAACACATTCTACAGCTACCAGTATAAGCAAGAAACATATAGCATTTGTTTCTCACCCTATATCACACACACACACAAAAAAAAAAACCCACCAGAGGGGATAACCATGTACCTAGTGATTACCAGGAATTATAATCTTTATAATAACAGTGGGAAGCTGGCTAAAACCTTGAATTTCCTTGTGTTTACTACAGTCAGAATAACAGAAGGGTCATTGTATTCTTAAAATTCTTTTGCATGCCCATTTTTAGTGGACTGTAGATGTGCCATGGGATTTCTCATACTAAACATTCTTTTCAGTCAAGCAAATTATGGTAATAAACACTGGCACTTTGACAGAGAATCCAAAGAATTATAAAGAGCAATTCCTTTTTGCTCCCTGTTCCACTTACCCCTGGGATAGGTAAGAGGCAAAGGTTACTAACAGAATGTTCTGGAATAATGAGGGGGTAAAACATGAGAGATTTAAGGGCATATTTTAAAATATGTCTACTAAGTCAACTGATATTGAATGTTATAATGTGATAGTATTTAGCAACTATGAATGACAATGTTGGAAAATGAGAAATATTATCTTGAAAAGCACAAGTACTTTTCTTCCATTTCAAGGTAGACTGAGTCTCTTGTTCCCTCATTCGATAATGTCTAAAATTGTAAGCTTACTCGTGTGAATAAACATGCTTGTATTTTCCATTAAGAAGAAACCATAGGATGTTGTCCTACAAACTGCCTAGAGAGAATGAACACTCAGTTTTGCTCAGGGAACAAACTCTCCAAACCCAAAAGGTTCTTTATTTGTTGTTTTGCAGAACATGAAACTGACAGTTAAACTGAGTTTTCTAGGCCAGAAAAAATCAGGAGGAGAAAATCATCACAAGAAAGGGATGTAGGAGCTTGTAGTTGGAGAAGTATTCATTACAAATCATGGGAAAAATAAGAAGGAACAAAAGTTCAATGGGTCAAAGAATCTTTACAATTCTGAATCCCATACTACTTTCCATCAAGAATGACTGCCAATGGTTACCAAAAGGGAAGGTACAAGGGGTGGGTAAATCAGATAAAAAGGGGGTCAATTTTGTGATTGTTGAGTGGAACTGTATTTCATAGAGTTCCATAATGTAATATATACAGATGTTGATTTAGAGGACTGTCCACCTGAAAACTTATATATCATAAACCAATGTTACTTTAATTTTAAAAAGTTTAATTAACCATCAAAAAATGCTAAGACATTAAGATACCCAGGACAGTTCATGCAGATCATAGCTTAAAATAATTTTATAAATATCCATGAACAAGTTGAAAATCTATACTTACTGGAATACGTTTAACTTCACTCACATTTAAGGAAATCTAGGAACAAAGAGAAATATATTTATTTATTACACCACTAAAAACATCATTATTCTGATCTACTTATTTTTTCACTAGATTTACCCATTTTTCCCTAAGTCACATGCAAGTTCATTCATTTATTATGAATAGAAATAAAATCTATTTCTATCAAAAACAAGAAAATCATACCAGTAAGAGGTGGGAGCAATATGACTAGGAAATAATTTTGAATTCTCATTTTCACTTTGTGCTTGAGTGTTTGGCTTCAATTTCCCTCAATATGATAAACTTCACAGTCAAGGTATCTAGGCTTGTGAAGGCAAATTCCTGAATTTTGTATGGTACCAGAGCACTTATTAAAAAGACTTGTTTTTCTGTAATCCCACTGGGCTTAATTTACAAAAGCTGGGCAGGAAAATTGATATGATTTAGAAAATACAAATTCAATATTTATAGCGAATCTTTAATATCCTACATTCTTAAGAAATAAGAATGACTATGAAATACTAAACTATGAAATACCACTATGAAACAATGCCAACAGCATTAGAATAGTAATGCTATATTTAAATTTCTCTCTTTTTTTTTTAAATGGGTGGCATTGTTCTAAGTACTTTATAGGCATTATCTCAATAGCCTCATGAGGTAAACACTATTGTTATCCCTACCTTACAGTTGAGCATTAAGTAACATGCCCAAGGTCACAGCTAATACTTGGAAAAATAGGGATTCAAACCTAGAGCCTGCACCATGAACCCTCCCCAGCATATAAAAAACACTGGCAGGTTGACAGATATAATTTTCCCAAGTCATGAGGGAAATTTAGGAATTAGTTCACAAGTCAGAGTACTTAATCTTAGTTCCTATAATCTTATTCTGAATGCTCAATGAAGCAATTGTCCTGATGATCACTCGGCATAATTTTGAGAACATGAAGAATTTATCAACATTCCCAAACCCCATGTGAAAATATGGTCAACATAGTTAAATAGAACAAATTTGAAGAGATTAAGATAAACATTTTTTCTTTGGGAAATTAAAAAAAAATAGAGACATAGGGAGAAATAAAACCCTAGCCAAATGGAGCTTCACCCCACATACAACCCATCAAAACCCTTTCAAAAGGATTTACTGCAAAGAAAATCTATAATTTAATCTCTATATATTATTTCCTCCCTAGAACAAGCCACCATTACCCTTTCTCTGGGCCATTGCCAAAACCCTTCTAACCAATCTACCTGCTTCTAATTTTGTCCCCTTCTGTCACTGGCCCACAGACCAGCCAAACGATCCTTTCACAAGATCACAGCACCTCACTGGCTCAAAGATGCCCAGCACTCCCATCCACCTCTGGGTAAAATGCCTCTTTACCACAACATTCAAGCTGCCCACTGGACCTCATCTCCAATTCCGTTCTACCTCATTCATTTGGTTCAAGCCATATTCACTTCCTGTTGTTTCTTGAACATGCCAAGCACACTTCTGCCTCAGTGCTTCTTCCAATTGCTGATCCTGCTTCCTGGAATGTCCCCCCACCCTCACTGCCTGCTCACTCATTCATGCTCCCTCACCTCCTTCCGGTTTAACTCAATCTTCTCTACATGAGGGGACTCCCCACATTCCCTTCAACTGCTTCATTACTTGTTGCCACATGACAGCGTTTTATTAGCCCTCTATGTACCCATACTGGAAGGTAAGCTCCAGGAGAAGGGGGCTCCGTGTGCTGTGTTCACATCTGATAGTAGGTACATAAACCCATTAATTGACCATATAAATTGGTGAGAGAAATGAAAAGGTAATACTCTCATTAAATTAATTTTGAATTATTAATTCTAATGATTAGCCCAATACTCACAAATTCTGCATTTTCTTCAAAAACACAATACCCCTTCCTTGAAATGCATTCAGGACAGCATTTTCCATCTAAGTGAATTAATTCTTCATCCTATAGAAGAGTTGCAGTGGCACAAATCAGATTAACATCTCCAGGTGGCAGTGCTAAATTGTGAAGCAGCTGGATTCCCTGACTGGAATAAAGACTTTAGCCCACCCCTTTGCTTTGCCCACTACTTATTTCATCTCCCCGGGTGATGGGAGATGGACCATGTGTTTTTTCTTTCCCGTTATGGCCATGCTTATGCACTGATCATCCCAGTAATTTCCTTTCCATGACCAGGAACTCAAATGAATAAGGATTGCCAAGATGAATGTTATAGCCTTGGAAAGTCATAAGTTTCAGAAAAGGATCAGGCTGTTTAAAATATACAAGGTTTGAACTTGTAATTTGGTTTTGTTTACAGTCTTCAAATCAAACCAATGTTTTTCCTTGAATACAAAATCAGACATATCCCTTTATGCATAGGCATAAATTAAACAGTAGAAACCCAACATCTTTTAAATATTCTAAAACTTACCCAACCCACATAATCACTATTTTAAAAATTAGAAGGGAAAGGAAAGAAATGCCATACTAGGAAAGTAAATGTTTACCTTTCAAAGGCTTATCATTTTAATAATTTCAAATTTTCTATTTTTTATTACAAAATAACAAATGCTTACTATTAAAAAATGAATAATTCTGAATTCTAGTCTATCGCAGCCCTATCTCCTCGGGAATCTGCTGTTAAAAATGCATCTCTGCTGACAAATTTTCATGTGCATATATTAAAATATAATATCTATAGGCTAAAGCACTTTTCACTTTCTAAAGAATGGTGATGTTTCTTTAAATGAAGACATTATTTAATTTGGAGTCTTTATTGCATTTAAAGTACAGAAACCATGTTAGGTAAAAACTGAATAATGCAAAATTGCATAAACAGAATAATCACAATGATATTTTATGTTTAAAAACCACGGACTAAAGAAAAACAGAAAATAAAAGCATCCGCTGTCTAGCTGTCTTTGAATTGTAGCATTATGGATAGATTTTAAAGTCTCTTTTCTACTTTTCTTGAGTCTTCAATTTTCTAAAATGAGTATGTATGATTTTAATGAATGGAAAAAAACTTTTAAAAGAAACACAAAAATACATGAATGATGGTAACCTCTTACAGTGTCTAAAAGATTATTTTAAAAAGAAGGGAGCAGTATAGATCACTGTCCATCAAAATTTAATGCCAATCAGAGGCCAAAAGAGAGCAGTTGGTGCTATAGAGAACAGACGTATTTACATATAAATTGTTTTGCAGAAACGTGACAAATCAGCTGGTAGTGAAAGCAAAACCCAGAAACATAGTGAAATTTGCTTTCAAAGCATATAAAAGAGTTTATGCACATGTAATATAAGTCACTTAAAACAATGTCTTAAAAATGAGGCAAGTATATATACTTGTATTAAGACAAAATGCAAGAGTAATTCTTGAGTGTCCCCCACAATGCATCCAGACAAAACTGAAAATGGAGTCTGCATCACCCAGATAAGGCAAAGGAGGTGCCGGTTCTCAGTCTCCAAATGCTACTGTAAATAACAGCCAGGCCTGCTCCTGGGACCAAGGATTCAGTTTGGGTGAGGTAGGAAGTTCTAAATAGATTTGCTATTTATAGAAGAAGTCTGAATGATCCAAACTGCGTCACTTCACCGCAGTGGGGAGCTTGCTCCAATTAGCATTTGATTTTTGCTTTGAGAAAAATTGCTTTGTGAAACAAAACTAATTCTTTTCTTTTTAAGAGGATTCTGCTGTATTGGCCAGATGGACTCTGCTAACCTCTTCCCATTAAATCACATCCACATCCCACCACCAGAGGAAAGACCATGTGATTCCCTTAATCTGCCCACAGGAACAAAACAAAGATTAAGGAAACACACTCTTGAGAGAATTTTCCTCTTTGGAGGCAGGAAAGGCACCTCATATAGATGGAGTGTTTACCTTTTTCCATGCATTTGGCTATAAGCTTCAATTCCCCTACCATTTTATGTCTCATATATCCCTTTCTAAGGAAAAAAAATAAGGTCATTTCATTTGACTTACTCATCTGAATTCATGTTAAAGATAACAATACAGAGAAAAATGAAAATCATTATATTGTACAAGTCTATTGCTGATTTATTTGCCTCAGCATCTAGGGATTTGGTTTGGTATCCCAAAGACAACAGTTGTGCCATTTTCATTTTCACCTTTTTTTAACAGAGAAAAATTATGTGCTGATTTCAGTGCTATCTACAGCATTGTAATAATTACAGTGGTGAAACTGAGTAATTTCACTTCTAGAAGTTTACTCTTCTGCAACTTAATCCACCCTTGGAATCCAAGATTAGAAATCAAATAATGTTGATATTTTAGACAAGGCAGAAAGTGGGAAAGAAGAGAATAAAAATACCAGTAGCACACTTTCCCTGCTCCCCTTGGCAGGGCTCGTCATTTTCTCCAGGTGCTCTTAATACATGTAATTTATAACTCCATAATCAGTGGAGTTATTTACATGAATATGGCATAGAAAGAATTGGATAAGGAATAACTTTTGCAAGACTCCATTTTGGTTAAAATTTCACTTCTGGCATGTTCCCAGTTTAGAACCCAGTACCTTAAATAAAATCTGGGAAAATGGAGATCATCTGCAAGGAGAAATAGGCTAAAAGGATTAGAATCCCTCAATTCATAAAAGAGAAGATGGGATGGGGTGGAAAGCAGAAGCAGAAAGAGATGAGATAATGCTAAAGGGTGAGTTAAGGAATACTTAAGTCCTCACCACTGATTTCAACAGTTACTCCCCACTTTTCCTAAGAACAAAAGAAGCCCTGTCTTATGCTAGTTACCATAGGCAGGTGTCATGAGGACAGGCAAAACACTGGGGAACGCATTAACACTGGAGATAATGAGTACAAATGTTTTCTGTGAGTGAGGCTCTCTGTTCAGACATGGCTGAAAACAAGGGGCTAAAGTACCCAAACTACATTTGGGTAGTTTGGATCATTTCTCCCACATTTTCCAAAAACCCTGGGATGTCACACAAATTAGAACCTACAAAAATAACCCAGCATCCTCTGGGCAGATTGCTGAGGCCAAGAAGCCCAGCTTCAGCATGAGAGAGGGGAGGAAAGAAAAGGGCCAGATTAGGTTTTTCTCATCTTCATCCAACCGTCTGACTCCCATAAAGATAGCAAAGAAAAGAAAAGGTGTATGGGCCAGGGGGCGGGGGGGAACAAATCTGCAAGAAGAAAGACCCTCTTTACCTAAATATGTCTCAGCTTTGCCAAGACTTAGAGGAAGGAGGCAACATGAAAAATACCCCTGTCACTGACAGCCTTGCTGGAAAGGCTGTTCTTCCTCAGGCTCAATGTTAAGAGTAGCTGAGATGTGGGGGAGAAGAACTAGAAAGAAAATTGCCTTCACAGACACCCAGTGCTTCAGATCTTCCAAGTTTCCCTCATCTACTCAAGTTTACAACCCTCCGGGAAATTGGTGGGGCGGATGGGAGTGGTGAGGGAGACAACTTTAAAAGCAATTTGTTTTGCAGTGGGTCAAAATTGAGTTCAAAGGGGAAAAAAAGCAATTTCCCTACATTATGCCTCTATAATCCAAACAGAGGCTATTTTGTTAGAAGCTTCTAGAAATTCTTCTAGAATTCTGCAAATGCCAGAAGTCAAAAGAGGTCAACAGTTAATTATTTATGAGGTTCCCTCTCTCCCTTTAAAACAAAACAAAAATACATTTTATTTTCTTCCCTACTCCACAAGAGTGACTCTTAGGCACTGGCTCCCTTTTTTGTCAAATGCTGCCAGTGGGGCCTGCAACAGAAGCCAGGCCACTGGAGCACCTGAAGACCCCTGTATCGCTCTCTCAGTGAGTTGGGCAGGCCACAAGCAATTTGGTCCAGCTGCAACGACTGATAGGCGAATGTGCCGTATCATGTCCCCCCATTTTCTTGTTTCTGGCTCAGGGCTTCTAATCTAATCAGATGCACCAAGAATAAAAAGCTCCAGGTAGCTGTTCCAAGCTAGTTTAAACAAAATATTGACAATTACTTTCTACCAGAATCTTTGTGCTAGAAGCTTCTTTGAAATGAGAGTGAACAATGTGGCTTTCCCTTTGCTGCCAAGAAGCAAGGACTAAGTAAGGGGCCAACTATCACATTGGAGAAACCTGTGATAATCCAAGTGGAAATGCCTTTTTTGCCTCTTACCCTGGCACACTCCACTTTGGCACACTCTCCAGGCCAGCAGGTCACTTGGCCGTGGTCACACATGCAGAACTCACAGGCCGAGCTTTTCCACATTTCGTCCTGATACCGCACCATGCCGTGGTATGAGCAACTTCTGGCAGGAGACACACATTCCTCACAGCATTCCCCATGAGGCCGAGCCCGCCTTTGACCCTAAGGACACAGAGAAAATGGAGCATCTGGATAGCAAGAAAGCATCTGAGCCAAAGGGGCAGGCGGACACAAAGTCCCAACACCGTACACTGCTTCTCTTCCCTACCTCACCTGGCTGAGGCCAGTTCCCTCCTCCTCAACCTACTTCCTAGGAAGCAAATCTTTCACATCTTGATCTAATACGCTGAACAAAGCAAAAAACTTTTGTTTCCCTTGAAGGACACATTGGACTAAGAAATGCATTTCTTAAACAACACAGTATAAAGCATCACACTCTCAAATACAGTGAGTCCTCACTTAATGACATCAATAGGTTCTTTAACTACGCAAAATGATATCAAACAAAGTCAATTTCCCCATTAGCTAATTGACATAAACAAGAGTTAAGTTCCTACTGCACAGTTGTGGTCACAAAAACATCACCAAAACCTTCTAACTTTAACTTTATTCATCAATTGATTCATTCATTTTCCAATCAGATTAATACAGTCACAGGTAACTGGGACCTATACCAGCAGCTCAGGACACAAGGTGGGCACCTAACCTGGACAGGTGTACACACACATACATACACAGACTGGGACAACTGAGACATACCAATGAACCTGGTATCTTTGGGATTTGGGAGGCAAAGAAGAGCAAGCAGACATGAGGAGAACATGCAAACTCTGCATAGACAGTGACCCCAGTTGGGAGTCTTTCTCTTCTCATTAATATTACTAATGAAACATTGGTAACCAAAACATTATTTGAGGACCTGCTGTACCTTTTCGCATCTTAGTGGAGGGCAGGCCTGTTGGTGGCACCTGACCTCCCCTCGGTCACAAATACATGTGGTGCAGGCATTTTCACTCCACTGCTCACCATGCTGAGGAAAGCAAAGAAAAGTGAAAGAAGAAAATCAAATGTTACATACATTAAATAGAAAGAAAGTCATGTTAGACACACCACTTTTTACAACAACTTTTAATTGAACCAAACTGGAGACATTCCTGAGAAATAAGATCATTTAGGTAGCAATAGCCTTTAAGAAAAAAAAAAATCATTAGATGTCCTAAGAGAACCTTGGATTTATTTGCATTCAACTATATTCCACTGATGTGTTGAGGGCCTGCTCTATGCCAGGCATGTGGAGAATGAGGTGTATAGAAGACCCTGTGTGTTGGCTGATCAGTGGTGATTCTTTAGCGCTTCTTCTCCAGAAGAAGTATACGGCTCTGACTGCCACATACTTACTTTTCTGGCTTCTCATGTGACTAGGGAACAGACACCATCCTAATCCTAACTTAGGGGGCCTTAGGAGAAGTTTGCTAGAGTGGTGGCAGTCCAAGAAAAAATTCTTCTTGTTCAGAAGAAAAGTCTCCCCCGGCCTTCCCTGGTGGCACAGGCGGTTGAGCGCAGCACTGTGAAGCTGTCCGCAGCCTCGCAGGGCCGGTTGGATCCCGGCTGGTCGGCGAGGGTCCCAAATGGCACTGCAGACCTCTCCTGTCTCACCCGCTGCTCCCCTCCGTAGTGTATTTCATCAGTCTGCCTGTTCTGTTCCCCCTCTGTCTCTGGTGAATCCTCTCACTCTCTGCAGATCTGGTCTGTACCCCGGTTCTTGTATAAATAAATAAATAAATCTTTTTTAAAAAGTCTCCCCTTTACGTCTATCTGCTATTAGTGTGTGAGGTTGAGATGCCTCGAGCTGCCATATGGGGAACAAGAGGAGATAAGACAGAAAGAAAATGCCAATGTGCTGAGGATGATAGGGAGGAAAAATCCAAACTTAGATCTTTGAAATATCTTTGAGTTATTCAACTCTACAAATGCCCTGCTTCTTGTCCTATGAGATAATGAATGTTTTCACTTTAGCTACTTTTAGGGAATTTCTTACAGCCCAAACACCTTAACAGCTACAGAGGCTCTCTGTTCTATAAGAAATTAATCTAGCACATAAGTGGCTATTGGATTGGATCCACAAATCAGTACAGTAAGTCCTCATTTAACATTTTCAAGAGGTTCTTGGAAACTGTAACTTTAAACAAAACAACACGTAAGGGAAGCAGGTCCTGTTGTTCAGTTCAATGTTTCAGTGGACTGGGATTTCATTTTCTCATTAACATTATAATGAAATAATGTTGAATGAACCAACCTTATTCAGGGAGCTGCTGTACAAACAAAAGCTCTTCCAATTAGTTACATCCATTCAAATTTCAAGTGAGCTGTCTAAATAAAATTCAGACATCCCTTCATACTCAGTTCCAGATTCTCTACTGAGGTTCATATCCTAGTTTCTATTTAGACTTCCTTAGAGTGGCTGGCAAGCAAGGAAAGTATTGAGCTTATTTTTCATATGTTGTTTGAGTTTGAGTAACACAAACTGTTGGTTCAGGTAGGGACTTCTAAGACAACATTTATTTATTGATTCAATTTGTTGAACTCATTTTTATTTGATGCCTACTATATGTCAGTGATCTAGATTGCCCCAATTACATCTTCAAGTTTGTAGGTTCTACTACCACCACCTTCTCACCTCCTTTCTCTCTCCCCCCACTCCCTCAATCCCTCCCCCAGTGCAAAGTGGGGAGATAATGTATCTGGTTATCAGTGTACAAAATCCATCCAAAGCTACACAGATATTCTCATGCCTCCAACCTAAGTAAACTGATAGCAGGCAATAACAGTCATTTTTCCCTTCAAGATGTATACGCAGCAAGTTCACCAAGGTTCATGAACCAGGTGCTACTTGCCAGTACATTCCTTTATGTCTCTAATCCCCTTTGATTTAATTTTTTCAAAAAGACTTTCCTTGAGAAGAAAAAAGCCGGTTATGTACTGAGTTACTAATCCTGGCAAAGAGTCAGACATGAGGGTGAGGAGGTACAGTGGTTGGCAAAGGGAGGGCAGATGTGTGAGAACGTATGTCGAAACACCTACACGGGGCATAGCAAAGATTACCTGGTATACTTGGCCAGCAGCAGAGCAAGATCGTGAAGAGCACTGTGGGCAGCATTTTCCAGGGACTCGGACTACAGTTTCATCCTTAGCACCCAATAAAAGAAACAATACATCAAAAGGAGGTAACAAAATCCACAACAGCAGGAAAACTTCATCCATAGCCAACTCAATTGTGTACCTCAAGTATCTACAAACAGCAATTTCCTCTCACTTAGTATCTACTAATGACCTGGTGCTTTGATAAGAACTTTGTCACTTCCTTGGTCAATGTGACTCTTAAAAGTCTGAACATTCTCTAAGTCCTGTCTAAGAACAAACAAAAGCACAAATAATAAAGATAAGACAAGAAAAGTAACTTAATGTTTGTCATCTACTCTTTGAAATGCTTTTTATGTCCCTGTAAAATAAATGCTCTTATCCCTGCTTTACAAATAAGGGAAGGAAATACAGATATATTGTGTGACTTACCCAAGGTCACAGAGCTGACCTGATAATAGTAAATGGTTGGTGGTGGGGCTTCAGAACACCAATACCAATACTTAAGAGCATTTATATTCCTGCTGAGTTACCACTAAACTCAAGTGAAAGTATATTTCCCTTGATAAATGCTTCACTACTCTTTTGCATCTTGATGTGAATCCATACATCTATATATATGCATTGGAGAGGAACTTTACACGAAAAAAATCATTCATGTCTCTTGATATCTGGGAATAAGCCAGTGCATAGAAAAGTAGGTGGCAGGGACTAAATATTAAAAGAACTCCCCCTACACACATAGCACTATCTATATATTCTCACCTTTTCTACTCTGCCCCTCCCCCAGTATATCAGATCATTTGTCTCTGTTGCCCTAAGAACTTTCACAGCAACAGTCCCCTCATTAATGCCAAAGAGGCAGCTTCTCACTTTGACTTATCTCTGCAGCCTTCGTGAAGGGCAGTAAGTAAGGTAGACATATTAAAGGCAAGGGGACAAGGGTTAGAACAAACCAAGTTTCAATGACCAAGAAGTGCTATAGTATACAAAATATTCTTCTAAATATTTATCTTCACTTTCCCTTAAAGAAGTAGAAAATGAAATGTATGATCATGGTTGTTCCGGTATTCATTTTGCAAGAAAAAGGCTAATGTACTTTGGACAGCAGGGGAACAGCAGTCAAATAATCTTAATTTTTAAAGGAAAGTTCCAGTCATAATTCACTAGTTTTTTAACACAACTATATGATATCTGTTAAGCTAATGCTTTACTGTCTAATAAGAATTTATTTCAAACACCCAAATGACTGGAATTACCAACAACTCCTCCCTCTGCCTTAGGTTATTTTATTTCTTCATTATTCTATATGTAAAATACCATGAACATTGTTGTTTAATAGAGTAGGGGGAAATTGGCCATCTATTATAAACACTGAACATTTCTTGATCTCAGAACTCTTCAGCTTAATGAAATTTCAATGAGGAAGTAAAATAAAGGTCTATCTGATGCCATACTATTGGGTAATTTTATTGTAGTAGACAAATGCATTAAGACTTACACAATCTTAGCTAAAGAAGGAACAAATGTCATGACCACAGATCTTGAGCAGAAGTAGAGTTAGACTCAGTCTATCTTAACCAACATGAACTAGATCCAGAGTCAACCTGCGAGCATGGGGAAGAGGGTAGTCCATATTATAGGGATTGGTACAAGAAAAAATAAGCTTTCCTATTCCAATTGCAATTACATATTATATTGACAGAAATAGAATCTTTCTTCACAAGTATAGATTAACAAATGCAACAGGAAAAACAGAGAAAACATGCAAGGTATGAGAGAACTGCATGATGGGGAGTGAGTTAAGATCTTATCTGTGCTGGCTGCTTTATAAGCAGGACTGCAGAGGCAAGTAAGAAGGGGAGCATAGAGGTGGGTCACAGAAATGGGACAAACAGCAGTGCTGTCATTTATTTTGTTGCCATCACACACTTGAATCCTATCATTCTTGACTACTGATTTGCCATTCCAAAGGTATAATCTGAATTGGGGCCAGCAAACTATGAACCACATACCAAACCTGGCCCATTCCATTTTTTTATAATGTTTCATTGAAACACAACCATATCCTTTCATTTACCTATTATCAATGGCTCTTTTTATGCTACAGTGGCAGAGTTGAGTGGTTGTTCCAATTGTATAGCACACATGGTCAAAAATATTCACTATCTGGCTTTTTATAGGAAAAGGTTTTCAACCTCTGGCTAAATACGACACCCTTGGAAATCACAGTTCAATAAATAATCATATATATGATTAATGCCATTACAATTGTGGGTAGGACCACTTCTAAGGATATATTTAATTATGGCTTTCTATATTCCTTAAATAAAAATACTTTTGATATAGTGTAGTTATGGCTAAAGGCTCCAGACAACACATTTTCCCAGTACAAAATGAGATGAAAAGTCACCACCCCAAAGTAGAATAGCCATTCTCTACCATTGCCAAGAGGAAGTCCCACTGACCATAAGATATTTTGTGGCTTTCTTTTACTGTGTACACCTAAATAGAACTAAAAGCCAACACTTCCTTTCAACTATTTCCTTTCCTATATCAAGCACAACTGTCAAAGGAGGTCATTTAGAGGAAGTGACTGCCAAATGACCTACAAGCTAGACCCAGGCGATCAGAGATTCCTCACCTCCTCCCTTGTCCTTAGAATGTGCATTCCACTTGCCTTCCCCACACTAGAAGCTGCTCCAATGACATAGTCTTGAAATAGTAATGTGTTGTCAAGACCATCTGGGTGGTATATGTGACTAAACCCAGTTAAGGCCTCTATATCTTAAAATGAAAGATTTGGCAGGCAGATGCCGAGATCTACTTGTCTTGCAGTCGCCCAAGACAAGTCTTGTAAGATCCCTTCTTTATTAAAACTGCTACTTAACAGTCTGGAATGTTCTGTCTTTTTCTTTGGTATCACCATACCCTCTGTGTATGAGGGTGGGGATGACATTTAAAATTTTACCTGGGAAGCTCCTGTGATTGCAAACCAGATAGCCAGACCTCTAATGTGTGGTCACTGCTGTTTGAGGCACCTGAATATCAGTCCTCACCTTTCACTTCCCTCAGTAACTTTCTTTCTGTGTCTAGTTGGAGTCCATAATGTAAAAATAAATAAATAAAAGGGGGGGGGAAGTGTATGTATTAGCAGAGGTAGAGAGGTGATAAAAAACAGGGAAGTGTTGGGAGGAAGGAGCGCTCCCCAAGTGAAAAGCACACAGTCACAAGGGAAATGAAAAGAACTCTTGCAGCAGTGTACAGTGGGGATTATAATTTGATTTTCAAGTACTCAAAATGTAAGCAGAGTGGTCAGTGGAAAAAGGAAAAGATCTGATCTCAGTACAATAGAATTACACTAAATGAAAGACTGTCAGAACCCTGGATGAGGAAACATGGACATTTCTTAGCAATTGGCTATGGAGCCAAGAAGGGGAATGACCTAGGGGCAGGTCACTTGCCCTTGCAGCTTTCAAGTAGTGGTTATAGACAAATTTCTCTTGATCAAGGAAGAGTAAGAAGAAAGAAAAGAACTTGGAAGCAAACCCTGAAGAGCAAGTGAAAGGAATAACATTCTGAAGAGTCAAAGAAAAAGCAGATTTCTGAACACTATGTACTACAAGATCTAAAAGAAAAGATTGAAAAGTGGTCTGCAACTTCAGTAAACAGCAATCATTAAATAGACATAGGAAGTAATAAGGAGAGAAAGAGTATTGGAATCTTAAAAATAGATAAACCGATGACAGGAGATACGAAAAAGAATTAAAATTAAACAAATTACCAAATTAAAATCAATGCTGGAGGTAGGAAATACAAGCTCAAGAAGCTTTCTCCACAACATAGAGGGAAGGCACAAAGTGAAAAATTGTGAGAGAGAAAAAAATTGACATGGGGAAAGAAAAGAAGGTAAATGGTCACAGGTGATTCTGGAGAAAGAAAAGTAATTGGAATGGATGTATTTAATCAAAGCTATAAATGAAGAAAACTTTTCAAAAACTGGAATAAAACTGCAATATTTTAGGGAAAATATGGAAAATACACCTAACTCAGAAATAACCTGAAAAATGTTTGAATGATAAAGAAACATCTACACGTATCCAAGAAAGTAAAACAAGCTGAACGTAAGGAAAAGAGAGCAGACAGGTCTCAGAATTTTCCTCTATATAACTAAATTCCAGAATTCAACAGAAGTAGTCTAAGGGTTTGAAATGAGAAGAGTTATAATCCCCAATTTTAGACTCTTCCAGAAAGTTTTTTAAATTATCAGATTGAACACCACGCTGTGAAACTGTCTGCAGCCTCTGCAGCGCCGGTTCCATCTCCACCGGCCAGCGAGGATCCCACATGGCATGACAGACCTCTCCTGTCTAGCCCACTGCTCCCCTCAGCAGTGGGTTTCAGTCAGTTTGCCTGTTCTGTTCCCCGCTCTGTCTCTGGTGAATCCTCTCACCATCCTGAGCATCTGGCCTGTGCCCCGATTCTTGTGTAAAAGAATAAATAAATCTGGGCCTCCCCTGCTGCGCAGCGGTTGAGCACTGGGCTGCGAAGCTGCCTACAGCCTCTGCAGCGCTGGTTTGATCCCCGGCCACCGGTGAGGGTCCCACATGGCACGTAGACCTCTCCTGCTGTGCTCGCTGCTCCCCGCTCTGGCTCTGGTGAATCCTCTCACCCTCCCACGCCTCTGACTGTACCCAGTGCTTGTGTAAATAAATAAATAAATCTTTTTTAAAAAAAAACAAACAAATCTTTAAAAATAAATAAATAAATGAATAATCAGATTACTTTTCAGGTATATAGACAACAAGAAACCAATGGCTTAGAAGACACAGAAATCTTTCACTTTTCTTGAAAAAATGAAGTTCAGCCTACTAAGAATAGTCAATATTGAGGATGGGAAAGCTGTAGTATTAAAAAAGCTGGTGGCAATATCACCAGGAATGGACCTAAACAGACCATTTGAATGAGCCCATGAAAATGGGGAGTTATGGCTCTGTTCAGACTGCATCTTAACAAAAGGTAAAAAAGCAAGCAATTTCAATAACTGCATCTATCATAAAGGGAACAATCCTTATTTGAACATACCGATTTCTCTTTTTGTTAGAGTATCACCAACTTCTAACATGAATATAATTATGCAAACAAATATTCTATATTTATTTACCTATCAAAAAATTAGGATTATCTGCAAAAAAGAAAACTCTATGCTGGTCTTTCTGAATAATGGAAATAGAGATGATTGTTTTCTGCTTTCCCAAACTTTCTTTAATGAGTACAGATTTCTTTCACAATGAAAAAAATTCTATATTAAAAATCAATCTTTTTCTAGATCTCGAGTCTGGAAATACATTTCTTCTGATGAACTTGGGTTTTTATATTTAATGAGTAAAAGCATATGAAATATTTAGAATTGTGCTCAATAATGTTAGCAAGTAATGTTATGAGTAATATTATACATAGATGCTATACTATCATTTGGGGAAGTAATATAGCATAATGGATGAAAATATAAGTCAGGTGAGGTCTGTTGAGGTTGTGAGTAGACCAGCCGAGGTAAGAAGTACTGTCACTTCTGAGCTGTGGTACTTAAACAATTTACTTAACCTCTCTGCACCTCAGTTCTACCTACTGTAAAATGGAGATGAAAGCCCTACTTCATAGTGTTGTTAGGAAAATTACAAGGCTTTTAAAATTAACCACCATTCTTAGTTTGACTTTATCTTATCCTTTAAAGCTGACAATAGAACTAGGGCTCCAGAGAGCAGAGGTGGGGTGAGAGTGTGAGGAGGGAGAACAATGAACGATGGTATATAGGGGGACTGTGGGTGTCAGTGGTGGGTATGATGAGGAAACAACACCTGAGTGGGGAGATCCTATGTTTCTAAAAACACAAACAATGACATAAACCCTGTTACCTCAATAAAAAGAAATGAATGAATGAATAAAATAAAATCAGGGTGAGAAGGAAAGCAAAAAACAAAACAGGACAAAAATTAATCACCATTACCATATGTAATGGTAATTTAATACTAAATTCCACAAATGTGGTGATGCTGATGGCGATAACGCCTCCACCAGAAATACTAATTCTACAATCCCACTTTACATCATCAAAGCATCTATTACTTCATAGTGATACGAAATCATGAAAAATGGTTCTAAATTATCAACAGTAGCTGTGTAAAAATATATTATGATAAAAGTATAGATATAAGGATCTAAAAATGATTAAAATCAATCTATTTCCAAGACTTCAGAATGCTTACTTATCAATTAGTTCTGCAGTATGGTACCAAATTTCAAGTTTTTAAATGAATTGTGTATGTTAATGAAAACTCTAGGGGAGTACTGTGTTTGAGGAGTTTATATTTAATGTTTTTTTAAATGTGAACTAGTATTCGTAATTATTCTAAATTTAGCCCGCTAATATACAATCTGTGGTTAAGTTTTTAAAGATGTATTAAAGGAGGATACTCACAATGAATGATTGCTCCATTCCTCCTCCCATCTCTCTAAATTTTAAGAGTGGCAAATGCTTAAATATACCTCTTATACAAAGGGACTAAACCCTGATGTGTATAACTCAAAATGCACTAATGCTGCAGTGCTCTTCAAGTGTAAGATCCTGTGCAACTCTACTAAGAAACTCGTTTGCAATCTCAAAGCAAAGACAAGACTTTGTGATGGATTGGGAGACAGGACATGAGCACGGTGGTTGGTACAATGTGGTAATACAATCTAGTCTTTCAATTAGATACATTTTCCCGTTATCTGTCATGTAGCATTTCATGTTTAATTGCCTTCGTCTGCCTTTTAATATATTGCCCAATTGTCACAATATGCCATGTTATCGATTTTGTTTTATTTGACACAAGTACTACTCTGTATCAACTAAATGTTGCTTCCAGCTTTTCCTTAGATCTAAAATGAGCTATTTTTCTAGTGAGACAAACTCCTTTCATTGTTATCTGTCAATTGGCATGGAACATCCATAGGAGCCTCTGGAAGAATAAAAAAACTATAAAATGCCATACATACCACATCTATTTGCAATTGATTTTCTCTTCTAAATTTGTGTGAAGAGCCCCATTTTTTTAAAATCAAATCAGCTTTAAATGGAGAATAAGATCCCACTATTTTAAACCTCCCCAGAGAAAATCCTTTGTTAATTTCAATCATTATCTTATAAAAATCAATAGTGTACATCTGGATAATCATGTTTGAAAACATGGATATGTCTTTAAAAAGCAGACTACAACTACGAATTAAAAAGCAATAACAAACCTGATCATATTACAGAATTTTCCACATGTTTAGCTTGACATTTTTGAAACATCTGCAACGAGAGCGGGTGGCATCTTTGCTGTACCCTCAAGGCTCAGCTTCATTATGTAACAATTAGCCTAAATCGCTGGTAATTAGACCTATCTATAACTTCTAAGTGTAAAAGAAAAGTCTCAGGAGTAGTCTCCACAAATATAAGGAAAACAAAACAGACTTGCTTCTTGTTCTAGTAGTTCCGAGGCTTGCCTGACATAATCTCAGAAGAGACTCCCAGTTCCTGAACAGTGAAGCTAATGGTCTGTGAAGGATCCACTCTGAGGCTGTCTTCCTTACCTGGTTACAAAACAGAGGCTGACACTGAGCTGTGAAGCACTGGGTGACCCCGTTTCTACACACACATTTGGCACACCGACTCAATGGCCAGTCCTCCCCATCCTGAAACACACGGCCTTCATAGGAACAGGGTTCTGAAAGATCAGAGAAATAAGGATTAATGAACAATTGCACTTGCTGATCCAGGGCTGATGACACAGATGTGTAGGTTCCAAAGGCTCAGTGCAAAGAAGAAGGCCCCACACTCAGGGCATTACAAGTTCTCAGTAACTTTCCAGCTTCCCAATTCACTACAGTGGGGACCTGGGTGCAGGCGCCAGGAAGTGGCCTATACCCCAAGTAGCACAGTGAGGTCCTGGGTACCTGTGGGGTTCTCCACAAAGCAGAGGAACATTACAAACTTGACAGGTTGAGAAAGACCACTAGCTGGGGATGGGGGTGAGAAGGAAGATTTTTGTCCCCTGATTTTAGAAATAGGAGTCCTATATTTTTATTTTGTAACCAGAAAGTTATGGAGTTGGCCCTTGCTTACCCTCTAATGTCTCCAAGCAAAATGTTTCCATATGTCTTTCTCATGGAGGGCCAAAAAGGCAGGCCCCAAAAACTTCAGAGGGAACCCTATAAACACAGACAGCCCATTCCTTATTCCACCTCAAACTCTGCTTGCAGGATTATTTGACCCATAGATGCATTTGGTCCTTTTCTGGTGGGTAACATCTGAAATGCATAAGGCAAGCACTCTACTTTCATAATTTCCTAAGCATACCTTGTAGTACCTGGAATGAATCTCCAGGATACATGATTGCTAGGAATGGAACACCTGGTGATCAGAAAGAAGCCAAGAATCTTTATAAAAGGAATAAGGCAGGGCCTCCCTGGTGGTACAAGGGGTTAAGTCGCAGCACTATGAAGCTATCCGCAGCCACTGCAGCATGAGTTCTATCCCTAGCCAGGGAGCTAACCCACATGGCACAGCAGACCCCTCCTGACTTGCCCACTGCTCCCCTCAGCAGTGTATTTCAGTCAATCCATCTGTTCTGTTCTCTACTCTGTGTCTGGTGAATCCTCTTACCCCTCACACCTCTGGCCTATACCCCAGTTCTTGTACGCATAAATAAATAAATTTTTAAAAAATAAAGGGAAAAAGGCAAGAATAGAATATAGCTTCCAGGAGCTATTAAATAAAAGAATAATTCTAGCTATTATTTGTCAGCAATGACAATAATTTTTATTTATCACAAAGTATACACTATATACTTATCAAAATAGAAGGATACATATATCCTTAAAATGTAATAAAAGGGGAATGTGGTCAAAGTATAGATTCCAAGGACTGGACCTGGAAGTTTCCCCCAGGTTGCTGAACCACACCTCAGGCTATTTGTAGCATAATATCCACAAAGAAGCTGCAATAAAGATAGATGAAATATCTGCTTCTGGTTTTGTGTGTGTTGGAGAAAGATATGTCATTTCAAAGATCAGCCAGCAGAAGTAATGCTAATGATACTACAAGGAAAAAAGAGAAAAAGAGTTGTTCCTTCTTCCCTCATCCGAGGGGCAGGAGGAACTGTCTTGGCCTTATGGAATTGTGCCAAAGGTTCTTGTCTCTCTTCCTCTCCCCTTCAGGAATTATGAAATGCAGAGGGATGCATCTCGCCAAGACAAACTAAATAGATCAGAGACCTGTAGAATCCCAAGTTTGGAATGAAACTTAAAGATCTGTTCCAACCTCATTTTCTTCAATGTTGCTTTCTGTCAAGTTCAAGGCTTTATTTTGGTTCCAGTGGGCATAGGTTTAGGGATCTTTGAACCATATTGAGGGAAAAAAGAGAAAAGTTGGGATGCCATCAGGTGAACCTTAAAGGCAAAGGTTCATACTAGTTCATACTCACTCCCAGGGCCCACGCAGACTGGGCAGCAGCTTCCTTCAGGGATGAATTCCAGTTCTTGGTGTCCGCAGGACAGTGGTGGGCAGGCCCGGGGGGTGCATCGGACTTCCCCATGAGTGCAAGAGCACACACTACATGGGGAGGAGACCCACTCTGTGCCATGCTGTATGTTAAGAGAAAAAAGTAAAAGATTATTGTCAGAATGTAGGCTTTCATTGGCCACTTTCTTATACAAATGAAGGATGGAGCTCAAGTAATATGGAAGAAAGCTCAAGAGTTGCAAGTTTGAGACCAAGGTTTGCAATGTTCCAAGTTAGAAACCAATTGAAAAATTAACTTTTCTATTTTCCCCAAGATTTGAAATTTAAAAGTTTTAGAAAGGCAAAGAAAGGAAACAAAAATCATCTCAAAGCCATACTTTAAAAAGTTACATGAAGCCCAAAGTAAAATACAAACAACATGTATTACACCTATTAATTTTTCATAATGATGGCGTTGTTTTCAATAGCTCTTGCTCTGAACCTGCTTCTTTTCTCTGCCTTTACTATTCACTCACACTAGTTCCCATGCAATTCCTCCCTCCCCAGCACCAATGTACCAAGTTTTCAGGGTCTTGGGGTAGGTGTAAAAGCCAGCAGGTGACTCCTGCTCCATCTAGGTCTCTCACAAACTACAGAACAATTTATTTCCCTTACGGGTATTCACCCACACACGCAGAATACCCCAAATCCATGTTAAGCTGGGATATGTTTCCGAAAGCTAGCATTGTCTCAGTGATCTAACAGATTGATGTTTTGAGTTACATGATTTCCTGAGCACAAAAACTATTTAAATGAACTGCCTTCAGATATGATGTAGACAAGGGGGTGAATCCTGACTATAGAAAGCAACAAATATGTGGATTGTTTAGAGAAGAAGATGTCAAAATAAGTTCTCAAAAGTACAATGGAATAATGGTGACTTTTTATAAGATGTAAGAAAAATTAACCTAATGAATGCAATTTTACTCCTATAACCTTTTCTTAAATATCACTACCTACTTTCCTTTGTCTCTATAAAATGTAGCCAATGATGTAGCAAAAATCATATCTAAGCTTCCATTAAAAACATCACACAATCCAGAGGCTTAATCACTTATATATAATCTGGATATTACAACTGTGTCACTGAGAAGCATAGAAAATAAAGTGTTTTTTTGCTTCTCCTCCAGCCAACATTCAGAATAATTATTCATCTCTCTCAAGCACAAAAGAACTCTGCCTCACAGAAACAAGTCAGTAGCCCTTTTTTCTGCAAATTGTTGCCAGGTTGCAAGCATGCCAAGTCTGACATTCTAGAATTACTAATAACCTGCTGCTATTATAGTAATAGATAGTCACAGTGATCCAATAACTTGGGAGCCAAATCCTAACTTTACTATCATGAAGATTACTTCCCTTTAGGTGGGCATACTGTGAGCACAACAGGGCAATAATGCATGTAGGCACTGATTTAGACAAAGCAAGGATTTATTTGGCCACATGCATTTTCTCAGATTCTAGTTCTACCCTCTCTCCCTTGGGGCCTATAGGACAACACAAATTAATGTTTGTAAATCTCAGCTTTCTGGTCTGAAAACCTGAAAAGGTATGATAATATCACATTACATGAGGCAGCCTATTAAGAACCGGCAAGAGCCATGGCAGGAGGAACATGCTGGATCCTCTCCCTTCATACACTCTCTCCCTTCTCACATCTATGTGCCAATTGTGACTGCAGGAATGGACATGGATGCAAAAGCCAAGTCCTCTCCCAATAATTTTTATTTCTACTATACTTAAATTATGAAATTTCAAATTTGGTACAGCATATAAATGGGCAAGACCACAGTTTGCTAATAAACTACTGGCTAATAAAAGATAGGGGACAATTGACCTTTATGCTTTGAAAGGTCTAAGCATAAAATGAAGAAATTATAAGAGAAAATTTTATAGGCTGTGGTGTGTAAAAATTTCTAAGGTCTGTCAAAATCATATTATAGACAAAATGAGAAGGCACATGACAAACTGATTAAAAAAAATTACAAATTATATTATTAGAACTGTACTATATAAAAATCATTTAAAAGCAATTAAGAAAAATAAATCCCAACATAAAAATTAGATCCGTAAGTTTATGAAATACTCAACTTTATCCACTGCAAAGTAACATTAATTAAAATGAAATTATAAAATTGGATAATATTGTTTAATATCAGATATGGGAAGAGTTTAAAATTCACAGTAACTAATGCTGATGAGATCACAATGAATTGGGATTCTCCCACAAAAGCCTTCCCTTGCTATAGCACCTGTGTGGCCCACTCAAGGTAATCACACTTTAAAAGAAAATGTACTGTGATATTCCTCATGGATTTATTATTAGACACAGAAAACTTAAAATTGAATTTTATTACTATATATATATATACATCAGAGCTTCAATACTCAAACTCTCAATGTTTTGACCTATTCGTTTCAATTTTAAGAAGTTATCTAGAGAAAATGAACAATATATACAAAAAAATTTTAAATACAAGGAATTTTATGTTCTTTATAGTGAAAGTGGAAATATTTTCCTGAAACTTGGAAGCTATCCAAATGCTTAATAATAGGAAATCATGTTTTCTAAATGCGTACCAGGGAACTATTTACAACATAATGTTATGTAAAAAAGCAAGACATAAATTGTATGCACAGTATAATTACAATTTTGAAAAAGCATTTATATCAATCTATCTATCTATGCATCCATCCACCCATCCATTCATCCATCCATCTCCGCTGCCACCCCCACCTCCCAAAGCTGAGAGAATAGTAACAGTGACTTTCAGATTTGGGGGATTATTAGTGGATCTTTTTCCTGCTGGTTTACTTTTCTGTTTTCCAAATTTTCACCAAGGAACATTTTTTATATTTGTCATTGGAAAACAAATTACTGTTTAAAACATGGAATGAATCATTTATTTATCTTAAGTAAAAATCTGAAGGCAGTATATAAAACAACTGGAATTTTGCTCTATTAAAAGTTAGGAGATTTCTTCTAAACATTTAGACATTTCACTTCATTAACAAGCACTTGTTTTTGCTACTGTTAAGAAACACTACTGCTTCCTAAACACTTGCAATCACACCACCTTTCAAAGAGAGACCACAAAAATTAATTGTAATAACCTGTCAATCACCAAAGATTTTTCATCTGTAAAATGAGAGGGCTGTATTAGCTAATCTCTTCAGTACCTGAAAGCTCTCTAATGATGTGAATCTATTATCTAACGCAAGAGACATAAAATTAAGCAGGGATGCTCCCTTTACAATAAGCTTGAGAATTATGGGAATTGCAGAGAACATTTAACAGGGAGACTCCACTGCTTGATGTCAAACCACAGAGGAAGTTCCAGATGGTGACCAAAAACTGCGTAGTGATGGTGAGGAACTGTTTTAACCTCCCTCTGGGGGAAAAGTCACATAAGTCCCTTCCATTTCCACCTCCTCTCCTCTCCCTAAAACAGTGACACCTTCAGCTGTTATAGATTATTTTTTCACAGTGTTCTACAGACCCATTAACAAAAGCTTTACTTCTTATTTTTTTTTATAAACACTGTAGCGGCAAAGACAGCTTTGTAAAATCAAGGAATAATTGCCACAAAAAGTAACGCTCTCACCAAGTCTCAAATTTAGCTGTGCCATTTAACCTCATTAATACCTTTTGAAAACATGAGACTTTTGACACTGAGCAAATACACATTTGGCAGACAACATCTTAAATATATTCTTTTGCACACCCAACTAACAAGTCGGCTTGGCTGTTGACATAAGTCCAAAGGAAAGATAAGGTCATAAACTATTTGCCTGTCTTACTGACAGAAGAAAAAATATAATTTTTCTTCACATAATTTGCTCCTGTTATGAAGTTATGGTTCTAGAATACTAAATATCTGGGACTGTTCAGTGAATATTATAATTACATCCTCTACTTTGAGGAGAACAAGGCTGCAGAATTCAATATTCATTTCTCCCTCACACCCATAAATTAGTTCTCCTTTTAGCCTCACAGACAGGCAAGGCAAGCCAACCTCTCCTCATTCCTCTGCTCTGTCAGATGCAGGCACGAGGGCATTGCCACGTGTCACTTTATTTTCCAGTCAATCTTTAGGCACTGTCTTTGCAGATTTGGCATTATCTGGTACTGGGGTTCAATTAGTACAGTGAGGAAAAGGGGGGTTAATGCTTCTCTCTCCTCCCTTTCACTGGCTAATTTGTGGGGAAAAGAACAGAGAAAAACATTCCAACACTTTTGGAAAACATATTTCAGACCTGTCGCCCTGACTGGTTGGCAAGGCTGGCAGAGATCCAAAAGTTAATTTGAAGGGAAAGCTTTGGGGAGGTCATGGATAAAATAGCCCCCCAAATGCAGGCTGTAATAAGCCCATACAAAAATCTCAAATTACCTGGAGGCAGCCAGAGGCTCAGTGTTTGCCTCACTCCAGGAAAGGTGTTGGGACTTGTCTTGACTTGCTGAGATGCCAGTTGCCTAAGAGACTGCCAACTCTGCCAGCGTGAAGGAGGTCCCCTCATGCCTCAAGGCTATATTGCACTGAAGCTAGCCTCCTTCTGGTGCCCCAAGCTGAACCTACCCTTGACCTTCCCTGATTTTAGCCCTATTCTCTGGGGACAGTATTACTTCAACTGATTTCCCTTCTTTCAGACTCACTCCTTTCTCAAGCCTCTTCTTACACTCCTCTCTCTTGAGGGAACGCTGCCACTTCAGAGATTCCAAAGTTCTTAAAACAGCAGCCCTTTTTATTGCTAGTGGGAAAAAGTCTCCATAACCGATCCTTTGGGATGCAAGCCAGAGGTTAAAGAGAAAGAATTACCACTACTCAGCAGAAGAGGAAGGTGCTCTGGAAACTGCTTCCCAAACAAGTTGAAAGGGGGTGGGGAAAAATGGTCTCCAAGATTCAAGGGAAAAACCCAAGTGGTGACAAGGTGAAACTCACACCATATCCAGGCCACCATTTAACCCTCTCAAGAAAATGAACGATGTTAAGAAGGATTTGGCAAGAATCTAGAGAAAGTGAAGAAAAAGGAAGGAAGGACAGTAAAACAGCATCAATTAATTCTATTGAGAATTAACTAGAGAAGTTATTATCTAAACTTATGCCAGACTACTAGGCATGTTTTTTTCTTCAAACTATAGTTCCTGAACATTCACTCTTTTTCTCGGTTACATCAAGTACCAGAAATACAATTATAACATTTTCGGAGGGAATACTTTCTAAAAGCTGTCTATGGGGAAACAACACATAGACAGGTTTTTATATAGCTTAGAGTTTTCTGTGTGATTTGCTACAACAGAAAGAGCGACCTGAAAAGAAGGCATGGAGAAGGGGGCCCTTCTGAACTCTTCCAGAAAAATTGGGAGGCCATGCAGATTTCTAACTGACTCCCCAGCAGGTCTGTGGTCCCAGAAACACCTAGCCACAGCCATACAAGGGGTCAATGAATAACAGTCCTGAGGCCAGGTCAAGGTCAAGCTGGAGAAGAGATCTATCATCGAGCATGTACTCTGGGAAAGGTTCAGGGATATGTGCCACAAGACAGGGGTCTGGGGGGTGGGGGGTGGAAGATCACTGTAAAGATATAGAAAATATTGTCAATGTTCTCAAACATGTTAGATAAAGATGAGAAATCTGCAAATGAGGAGTTATCAGAGTGTTCTCTGCAGGGACTTAAGGATGCTGAGTCCCCATGTCTCTGGTACCATCTCTTATGTGAGATGTCTGCTTTTGCCCAATTCCTGACTTTATTTGAATCCTATGTGCTCCTTCACTTGAAAAATTCAGTTTAGTGGTTTTGACCACACACCTATTCCAATCACTATGAACTGGCATTATTTCTATATCCACCTGCCCTGCCATTCTTTATGTTTCTCAGGGGCGCCTCTTTGCAATGTTTGCACCACCTGCCCTAACACAGACTAAATCGAGCGGCACAGGCAATGCGGGGTATGAAGACACTTCCAACATAGACCCTGCTCAACTTTTCCAGCAACACAGTGTGCAGAAGTGAGATAGTGGCTTCCTCATGTAATTAGGGGACAGTGGCTCAAGTGAGATGATCTGCCCCTTGGGAAAAATATACTGTACTCACAGGCCTTTAGGGACACGCACTGAATAGCACCCTAGAGTGCATATCAAATCCTTCTAACCCCTGCTCTCTCCTGAATGGGTAGAGACTTTAACTTTGAGAAAGTTTTGTATCAGATGGAAGATGAGGATTAAAGCAAACAAACTCTTTCCATCACATTTAACTTCTCCTGTGCCTCTGGGTCACATTTAGACATGATTGATGAACTTTATCCATTCCATTTTCATAATTCCTATTATAAATCCTGCAGTGAGACTTTACATTCTTTATTGAATATCTCTAAATTAATCCAAAAGGCTCTGGAATGAGGAAGGATAGATAATAAAAGAACTTCGCAATCGATTTCTAGAACTGATGGCTCTAGAAAGGATGGGAGAGTAGGTGAGCATTTCCCTCCTAGAGTAAATTTGGCCACGCCTGCAGATTTGGAGAATTGGGGAAAATACAATATCTAGTGGGTGGAAAATACAATATCTAGTGGATGCTGCTAAACATCCTACAATGCATAGGATGGTCCCTACAGCAAGGCCTAACATTGCCTAAAGTAGTGAAGTTTAGAAATTCTCCCCCAATGGAAAGGTCCCTGAATCAGTAGTAAGAAGACCAGAGTTCTAGGCCATGTTATACCACTTAGTAATGTGACATTGAGCAAGTACCTTAAGCAAGTACCTCATCTTTTTCAAACTGAACAACAGATAATAACATCTGCTATACTTTCCTACTAAGGATTGCTTGTAACTATCCAGTAAAGAGATTTATGTGATATAAAAAAGCAAGGTGGTCTTTTTATTATTCAGCATCACCTCTTCAACATCAACATTCTAGGACTGCTCTACACAGACACAAATTCAATCTATCAATATTTACATGGGACCTATGGAAAAAAAGAGGGCCATCTTAATCTCATTCAGAAAACCTAAATAACCACAGAAAGTCAAATGAGCCTTCAGTCCTCCCCAGGCATGCCAAAGAAAAAAATGTCTATGTCAACACAAGCTTAGCATTCAGTTCTCCCTTGTCAATGATGTACAGACACAGAATCAACCCTGGGTCAGAAACCACTTACCGCATGGATTTCCTTTTCATGATGGCAAGATCCAGGAGTCCTCACCACACACTCGGGACAGCACTGGTTGGCGGGTATTTGAAGCACTTCTCCCTGAGCATTTTAAAAACAGCTCAGTGTAAAGCAGCAGCAGCAAATACAGTCACAGTAGTTCATTGAACACAAGTCATCTTGGATTCACTAAATCTCAGGAGTTTTCAGGGGTGACAACAGCAGACAGGCTAAACCAAATAAACTAACAAAAAGGATTCTCCCTGTCAAGAGGTGCTTCCCTGAAAGATAAAATGAAACCCCTCGTGAAAGTTATTTCTTGGAAAAATGTCTACATCTTTTTACATTTAATGAAGAAAAGAATTTTCGTCACTAGCAATGCTCCATCCGAACGTCACACAAGATAAGCAGTCAGGGTGAGAGAAGAGTATTTCCCTAGAGTGGCTACTTCCTCTCTATCAGGGGTAGAAGAGGTGGGAGGGGGGTAGTAGCCACAGAGCCTGCAGGTCTTCTAGCCACACTGTCTAGGCTTGAAGCAGTCAGCAGCGGGGAACTGAGGTTCAGAAGCTCACATTTACCTGGGAATCAGGGGAGTCAGGCCATGGGACAGGACACTGAAGGGAAAAGCCGGCAGAGGAGAGCTTTGTTGTGGAGGCATCATGTATACAGTGGGGAGCTGAGTATGATTCCTGGACTCCAGTAAAGATCTACAGGGCTTCTGTAACTGCAGTTGTACATCCTGTTAAGATGTGAGGCTATTGGGCCTCCCCGGTGGCACAGCAGTTGAGCGCTGGGCTGCGAAGCTGCCCGCAGCCTCTGCAGTGCTGGTTCAATCCCTGGCCACTGGCGAGGGTCCCACATAGCGTGCAGTCCTCTCCTGCCGCCCGCTGCTCCCCTCAGTAGTGTACTTCTGTCCTTCTGCCTGTTCTGCTCTCCGCTCTGGCTCTGGTGAATTCTCTCACCCTCCCATGCTCCTGACTGTACCCAGTGCTTGTATAAATAAATAAATAAATCTTAAAAAAAAAAAAAAAAACACTCTGTTGGTTTCTTTAAAAAAAAAAAAAAGATGTGAGACTATTAAGACAATGGGCTACCATGTGATACCCCAGGATTTATTGGGATGTTTGTCACATGAAACTATCATTTGCTGTGAAAAATCTGTTTATAGAGTTTATTAAAACAAGCAACCCACAAGCAAATATTTGTCTTTAGGATCCAATGCGTATAATATGTATATAAATATATAATGTAATTCAACAACAACTTGATTAGGTAAATACTATTATTAACTGCACTGATGTTTGCAGTGGAAACCCCATCATGTAATAGAGTGTTCCTTTGCATGGCATCATCCTCTATGTACATATATTTTCCAGAAATTCTGAAGAGAATGCTTATTCTGAAAGAGCCGATTAAACAGTCAAGTTTCTAATTGCTTGTGTCTCCTTCGCTGTCTCTATTTATCTAGTTGCTTACTCTATATGGATACAGACTATAATATGGTTACAGGGTGGATGAGTGGGTGGGTAGGTGGGTGGATGGATGAATGGATGGATGGATGGATGGGAAGTAATGTCACAATAATATGACTGGTTGTTTCCAATCAATCCCTGAGCAACATATAAATTGTGAAAGGGCTTTTTAAAACATTTTTAAATGATAGGAACACAAGGTATTATTAACAATAATAATAATTTAGTTTAGGATACACTGTGATTCATTAACTTGTGGCAAGAAGTAATGTAATTGTGCCACCACAGATTTGTATCAAGATAATGATTCATACTCTTGAGAAACACACAGGAAAACTGCTTATCTATGTGATGCATAGAAATTCCACTCAGTGACTGACCAGGGCCTAAGGTTCCTGTCATGGCTGTGCCACTTACTAATTCTGTGTCTTTTAGCAAGTGAATAAACCACTAAAAGTCAATTCCTGTATCTTTAAAATGAGAACATCTGACTACATGAATTCTAAAGGCCTCTTCTACTTCTATCATGCTATGGTTTATTATTTAAAATAAAGAATCCGAATACACTATAACATATTCAAATGATCTGGAAGTGGAAAGTTTCTTAATGTTGGATCACTGTTCCAACCCTCACATTTTAGAAATAAGGAGTCACCTTGAGTTCATGTTCTCAATTATGTCATTCTTTCTTATCAATATCACCCACAACTTGCTGATCATTCCTTCATACACATGCACTAAAGACTTAGCACCTGGCTCTCAGTATCTTTTCTACCCTATGTGTAGACATAATTCTGGACACTTTCAATAGCCACAAAAGTGATCAGTTGAACATTCAATCCTTGTATATTCTTAACCACCTCAATTCAACCAACATTTACTCCACTTCACTTTAGCTCCCATGGCCATGGTCAACCTCTGGACATCTCAAGCCACATAATTCTATACCAGAAATATCCAACTCTCTGATTCTGAGTCTCCTAGACTTTAGTTCTGTCTTGGCCCCACTCCCACTCATCTTATCTCCTTCAGGGATATCCTTGAGCACTTCTTTTCCTTGCAGTCATTCATTCCCCAGCTAGTCTTGTTTTCCCATTTGTGTTATCCTAGATGGCTACCATTTCCTGTATCTCTGTTGTTTCTCTCCATTAGCCTGGTAAAACCCTAGTTCTGTACCTACTCCACAATTTGCCTTATTCTCTCGTATACCTGACTGCTAAGTATTGCTCAGAAAATCAATCTACCACACACTTTGGTACTAAGGGTCGTGAAACTCTTACCAAATGCTTTACCTCGACTTTGGTCAGGCCCATCTACCCACAGTTACAGTTCTTAACATTCATTATTCTTATCTTGTTCACACACCAAACCTCACAGTTTTCATATGACAAACTCATTAGGTATGAACTTCAGTACCCTGTTCCTTTTCTTACTTATAAATTTAACTATATCAACACCCATCCATGGCTCCTTCTTTCCACTTTTAGGGCGTGAGGTCCTCCCCACCTCATGTGTTGAATTCTGTACATTGTTTTCCAAAACTATTTTTAATAGTTCTCTCTTTCTCACTCATTCTTTCTTTCTCCCTACCCCACATCCCATACCTTCAAATTCTCTCCTTCTAAGTCATCTCCCTCCTATGGTGATCACATCTCTCACGTTAATATCAAAGTCAAAAACAAAAATAAAACCCTCTCTCTTCTCTTGTTGGGTCATTCTACACATATTGACTGAGCATTTTCTATGTGCCACACACAGAGCTATTTGATGGACTGCAAGAATGAAGAAGACACGCTTCCTACTTTCAAGGAACTAAGAGTCTGGAGGAAGAAGCAAATAAATAAGCAGCTATGTGCAATACTGGCAAGGGCTATAGCAGCTCAAACACACGCTCCACGGCAGCACACAGGAAACTCGATGGTTGGGAATAGGAAACCCAAAGAAATTTCACAGATGTGTTGTTTGCTCAATGTCCCACTTCTCTCCTTCTACTCTTACTGAAGCTCCCTGAAAAAGTAGCCTTTGATTTTCCCTCTTTTCCCCACTTTCCATTCACTCCTCAAGTCTCTGTACTATAGTTTCTACTTCCTGACTCCACTGACACCAACACCCCAACACCAATCCAATCACTGGTGGGATATATGTGGCCATTGCCAATGCATCACATTAAATTCTTTTCCCTCATATTCTCTTACCTATGATCAACACTGTTGATATAAACTCCTGAAAACTCTGCTCTCCTGATAATTATAATACTGCTCTCTTCTATGACCATTTCTAATTTCTTATCTCTCTCACCCTGTCTTTTATAATGTTCCTAAATGTCTCTCTTATGCCCATTTAGACTCTCTTCCCCACATTCCAGCCTTATTCTTTTCTCACCCTATCTCTTTGGATGAACTCATTAATTTCAAAGGTTTTCACTATTATCTGTCTGCTAATGACATCAATATTATATGACCCTGTGTTCTCCTCAGAGCTGACGACTCACATATCCAGCTGCTTTCTGACATATCCAGCCAACTCTTCCATGGACGCTTCAAACTCACTATGTTCCAAACTGAAATCATCATTTTCCTCCCAGGTGGGGTTCTTTCTTCTATGTTTTCTTTATCAGTGGATGGCTCAGCTAACTAGTCACAGACAGAAACATGGCAGTCACCTCTTCTTTCCTTCACTCTACTATGAGGTTATCCCTTAAATATGAGCCTGCCCTTTCCACTTGCTCCCTTTACTACCAGTGCGCTAACGAAGTTGGCCATTCTATCCATACACCTGAAACTTTACTAGCATCCTTTCATCTTAAAAATAAAATTCCAGGGCCTCCCTCATGGCTCAGGCAGTTGAGCACAGGGCTGTGAAGCTGTCCGCAGCCTGTGCAGTGCCGGTTCCATCCTTGCCGGCCTCAGAGCAATCCACATGGCAAGCAGACCTCTCCTGTTTCGCCCACTGTGCCCCTCAGCAGTGTATTTCACCAGTCTGCCTGTTCTGTTCCCCGCTCTGTCTCTGATGAATCCTCTTGCCCTCCCACGCATCTGGCCTATACCCCAGTTCTTGTATAAATAAAATAAATCATAAATAAATAAATAAATAAAGAAAGAAAGAAATAAATAAATAAATAAAATAAAATTCCAAGCACCATATTACACCTTACAAGGCTCTCTATAAGCTTAAACTTACTGATTCTCTAGAGTCATCAAAATATATCTCTTGAGTGTCCACCACTGTAAATGCTGGAGATATGTGGTGAATAAAAGAAATATCAGAGTATGCCAGATAGTAGGTAGTGCCGAGAAGTAAAATAAAAGTGTGAATGAGGGATAGGACATGTATAGTATGGGGTAGAGATTTGGAATTTTAAATCAAATGACATTCAAACAAGACAAAGGAAGTAAAGAATCTGTCTGTATAATTATGATGAGAGAGACAGAGAGAAACACTCACAGAATTTCAGCAGGAGCAGAAAAATGAAAAGCCCTATGGCAGAATGTTCCTGGCATATCCAGGGAATAGCAACAGGTTTGGTGTCTGAAGCAGAATGAACAAGAGAGAACAGTCAATTAATTAGAGGGGTATAAGACTACTTTACAAGACATTGTGAGGGCTTACTTTGAGAAAAGTTGCCATTGGAAGTCACTGGAGGCATTTCAGGAAGGAAGCAAAACGATCTCACTTAAATTTTAATAGGATTATCCTGGCTGCTATCTCAAGAGTACAGTGAAAAAGGCAAGTACAAAAACAAGTGAAACAAATGAAGAGGCTACTGTGAGAACGCAGCAAAGAATGAAATGGGTGAAACTGGAATAAGAGTAGAGAAACTGGGTCTGGAATGTACTATTTAATGAAGGAAGAGCTGAGGGATTTGCTAATGCCCTAGATGTGGGATAAAAGGGAAGCAAGGAGTCAAGGATGACTACGTTTTCTGGTCTGTGGAACTGGGAGAAGGGACCTGCCATTTAGTCCAACGCGAAAAAAATAGGAGAACAGTAAATTAGGAAGGGACATAATTATGTTTGGTATGGAATAAGAGTCAGAAACATCCTCTGTAAAGGACCAGATAGAAATACCTGACAGTAATATTTTAGCCATTGGGGGCCATCTATGATCTACAGCACTACCACACGATTCTGTTGTAGTGCGAAAGCAGCCAGAGACGACGCATGAACATATCGGTATCCTATGCTTCAACACTCATTTTTATACACACTGCAATTTGATTTCATATAATTTTCACAAAATGAAATATTCTTTTCTGTTTACTTTTTCATCCATTAAACATGTAAAAAAAATTTTTTTTGCTCATAGGTCATATAAAAACAAACTGTTAGCCAGATTGATTCTGCTGATGTCTGATAGAGAAGATGTTTCATTTTTGGCACCATAATCTATGTCTTTTGACATTAATTCCCGGCCTCTTCCATGATAGCAACAGTCAGTCATATGAAGAGGAGAAGTCTTGTCTTCAGGGAGCTTACACGGCCAATTCAGCTTCTAACCTGACTTATTCAGCAGCTAGAGAGCTTTTAGGAATATTTTCCCCATAAAATAGAAAGCCCTTTGATACACAAAAAAAAGTTATCAAATTTACCAAAACATGGTGTTCAGTCAACTTCTCACAATTACACCCATGCAGAAATTGAATAACACCTTAAAGGTATCAGAACTTTCAGTCCAACATTAAAAATAAACAGAAATGTATTAGTATGAGATGGCATATAGAGTCAAGGTTAATTATTATTGACGAGAAAGGACTGAAAAAATAAACCAAGTGAGTGAAATTGACAGGACACTTTTAAAAAAATAATTGGACTGCTCTAGGGAGTGTCAAATGTAACAAACTAAAACTTAAACTTTTTTTCTTAAAGATTCACTTTAAAAAAGTTCAAGCAAAATAATTGTGCAGTCAGAAAATACAGAAAATTTATAACAAAGGAGAGAGGAGAACATATTCTTCATTGAACATCTGGTCACTTATAGGATTTTCTGAGTCAACGTCTTTCCTATGAACTGAGAGAACCCAATGACAGCACAATAATATAAACAGTGGCAGGATGAATAATGTTTTCAGAAAATCATCTTTAAGAAGTCAGTCCTGACTTGCAATACATTCAATGGCTTGTCAATACCGTGGTTAGTATCAATAGCCTTGGCAAATGTCAGACCCACGGAAAATCTTAGGCATCAGTTTAGTAACTATATAATCATGGTTTAGTTGCTTTAAAATCTCCAGGCTTCTCTTTCCTCATCTGTAAAGTGGGGATAAAAATACCTACCCACAGAGCATTAAATGGGATTAACCTTTGTTACCCTTTACCTGGGTGTCTGGTCCAGAGTAAATGCTCAATAAATAGAAATCAAGATAGTCACAGATAAGATATGTTAAAATTCCCTCCCACACTTCATAAAGCTTCCAATTAGGGACTGGGATAAACGTCAAAACCAGATGACTGAAAAGATGCAAAACCCTATCCCTCACTGATATTACCAACAGATTTAGGATATAATTAGGATACCATACCTTCTCAAAGGCACACTGAGGGTTTCTGCAAACAGCAGGTTTGCAGATAACAATATCACCATGGCAACGACAGTTCTGGCATGAATCAGGCTTCCAAATTGTGGCATCCTGCAAAGAAGCATAAGCTCGGAGTTAAGAACTGATCAGTTAAGGCATGAGCACACAAAAGCAGCACTGTGAATGGCCCCACTGCCTGAACAATTAAAAGGCAAAGGGAAGTCACAGTCACACACAGAGCTTGCTGGTCACTGATTAAACCTCAAGAGGCAATAAAAGCAGTATAATCCATTTCACCACAGTCAACCCACGTAGCCAAAGACAAGGGCATGTAGCAGAGAGTTGTCGATACTAGAGCAAAAACCATCGATTGTCCTGAAACCTCAGGAGGACAACTTCTCCCTGACTTGAAGTTTCTCTTTGCTATAAACTAGCAGAAACCATTGCGGCATATTTAAAGGAAGCAGCTTTTGTCACTCCATACTATCAGCACCTTCACTTCCCTTTCTAGCTCTTTGTTACTTACATACTCTAATACTCAATAGAAACAAGAAGGATGTAAGTAGTTTGATATGTTGATCACATCAAACCAACATATCTGATGGCTATTATGTGTCCAGCTGGGTACTAGGCACACTGGAGTCAAATGAACCATAAATGTAGGCACCATCTGTAAGGATCTCACAAATTATTTTATTGTGAACACCAGGTTACTAAATAAACATAAACTGATATTATGTTAGTACTCCACAAATTGGAAATTTATGGTCATAAACAGAAATCCAGTGAAAATGAACCCAGTGTAGAAAGGTTATAAACATTTTTCCTACTTCCCATGCTCCATCATGCTGAAGTCATATTTCAATTATGCCCATTTTGAAGTAACTTTGAATCCAATTGTCACATAAATCCTACAGAGACCAGTTTCTGTCCTTTGAATGTTGCTCTGATGACTTTGAATTGAAGCAGTAAATTAAATCAGTAAAGTAAAGTGAAGGCAGACTAAAGTAAAGATACCATTTTCCCAGAGATTTCCTAGCCCCAAACTCCTATTTATAAGAGTTAGAAACAGCCCTTCTGTTTGTGTTTTAAACACCAAACTTCCTTTAAGAGGATTACCCATGTTATTCTCTGGTTTAACACTATCCCACAGCTCATCTTTGCCTCTGATGAGATAAAGAGTAGACACCATAACCTGGCACTCATCTCTCTCCCTGACCTTGACAAATCTCACAGTCTGGAAACTCACCCCTCACTCAAGTTGGTCAAGTTACTGGAGAGCACCAACCTTCTCTTGACTACACATCTACCATTCCCTTCTGGGATCCCCACTCCTCCTTGACTCCCCCAGATACATCTTGCAAACTAATATGCTGGTTTCCAGCTTCAATCTCAAGGAAGAATCATTTCCTAACCCCTCACCCTGTGCACTACACCCCACTCACTCTTTACCTCAGCTCTGTGGCCCTACTGTTTTCTGTGCACACCAACAGGCTTTATTATGCTTATTCACATTCCTGTTAGTTTTACTGGACCAGATGGTAAGCTTTTCAAAGCAGGCACTGCTTGGCTGGTTCACTGTAAGTTGTTCAAAAACCCAGGATTCATAGTTTCTAAGTTGTTTAGTGAAAGCTTTTTCTTCATTTATTTGTCATCCTTTTTTCTTCATCATCCAATTGAAGTGCGACTAAAGTACCTTGTGGAAGAGTGAAAGAAGGGTCTAAATACCTATGGAGTCGTCAGAACTTTAGAATTGACCTGAACTGGGTGAGCAGGGGAGATTGGTGGGTGCCAGCAACAGAGGCTTTCGCACCAAAATGCAGAAACCATCTGTGGTGGTTAATGTTGTGTCCACTTGGCTAAACTTTCTTATTATGGTGCCCAGATGGGTCAAATACCAGTCTAAATTTTGCTGTGAAGTTACTTTCGGGTGTGATTATCATTTACAGTAAGTTTATTAATTAAAGGAAATTACCCACCATAACATGGATAACCCATATCCAAGCAGTTGAAGACCTTAAGATTAAAAACCAAGGTTTCCTGGAGAGGAATTCACTCTCAAGACTGTAAAATGGAAGTTCTGCCTGAGTTTCCAGGTTATCAGCCTGCCTGACAAATACCAAAATTTCAGATTCAACACTGCAACTGCCAGACTTGCAGTTCCCACAGTCTCATGAGTTAATTCCTTATAATAAATTTCTTCCCTCTAAGGGAATATGCCTCAATCCCAGACTCATTTAAAAAATATAAAAATATAAAATATATTTGAGGGCCTCCCCGGTGGCGCAGTGGTTGAGCGCTGGGTTGCGAAGCTGCCCGCAGCCTCTGCAGTGCCAGTTCGATCCCCAGCTGCTCCCCGGCCACCAGAGGAGGGTCCCACATGGTGCGCAGACCTCTCCTGCCGCCCACTGCTCCCCTCAGCAGTGTACGTCAGTCCTTCTGCCTGCTCTGCTCCCCACTCTGGCTCTGGTGAATTCTCTCACCCTCCCACGCGTCTGACTGTACCCAGTGCTTGTATAAATAAACAAATAAATCTTTAAAAATATACATATATATTTGAGTGGCTAATTCACAAAAAGTCTGAGTAAAGTAATTGAATACTAGAACCTGACTTGGAATATCTGGGTTTGTTTTTTTTCTCTTTATTGTTATAAGACATTCACCTGAAATTGGTAATAGTTGGCAACTCTGTTGACTCTTAACCCAAAGAGCAATGACAAGTAGGTAAGAAAAAACAAATTTCATTCTCAATGACAAATTCACAAAGCTAGTGGCTTTCATTTATTGATCACTTGTCTTATACTGACACCTCTCGGAGCTGGGGGTACTGATAGAGGAGGCATTTGTTATTCTGGAAGAGGGTGACCAAATTTATTTTTCCTCTGCCATCATCCTAGAGGACCCAACAGAGAGGGCAAGAAGTGGCATCCATGCTGCACTAAGCACTTACATGCAGAACAGCCATAGGAACTAGCACAGTCCTTATGACCATTCTCACTTCACAGAAAGCAAGAGATTGAGCAATTCATCCAAGTTCACAACACACTGTGAGACCTGAGTGTGTTAGGCACTGGAGCCAGGCTGCCTGGCTTGAATCCTGTTGTCACCACTTATATAACAGCAAGTCTGTTAACAAGTTAAGGTGTCTGCTTTTCAGATTCCTCACTTGCAGAATAGGATGATAAAGTACTTATCTCCGGGGGTTATCTCCGGGGATCAAAGGAGATGATATATTTAAAGAGATGTAAAAAATACCTGGAACTTACAAGGAGTGAAGGGCTCATTATTTTTAATCCCAATGCTTTCTACAATTCATAGGTATGTAGCAAATATCTTGTAAACATTTCCTTTTCTCAGAGTAAAAATAGCCCCATGAAGACCTTGACTTTCCCATCCTCCCGCTGTTTTACACAGGTAAAACAGGGAAAAGTATTACTTATTGGAGATCCTTGTACTGAAAGATCCAAAGAGCTGGAAGGAAGGAGGACTGAATCCACAGATTTTATTTTCAAAACTAAGGTAAGGGAATAGCCTCTGTCTCACTAGAGCTATGTAACCATGAACCCAGGTCTTCCTTTCACTCAGACATCCACAGCCACCAAGGCTCCATGTACTCCCGTTAGTTCAGTATGGTTCCAAGGCACCAGTCATCTTCATTCTTTTGGAATCATCAATCCAACACTAGGAATAGAGTTTATCTTTGTACCTCAATTATTATCTTAGTGACCCAAAACTCCAAAACAAGTCACTTTTTAGCAGCTCTCAATTATTTGTGCTTGGCTTACTGAACTCTGAACAGGAGGTTCTAAAAACATGGGATAATTTTTCACTTTCATTCATAGAAACTTGATTTTTCTTTGTTAATTCAAAGTTGAATTTATCGGGCCTCCCCGGTGGCGCAGCAGTTGAGCGCTGGGTTGCGAAGCTGCGCGCGGCCTCTGCGGCGCCGGTTCGATCCCCGGCTGCTCCCCGGCCACCAGAGGAGGGTCCCACATGGCGCGCAGACTTCTCCTGCCGCCCGCTGCTCCCCTCAGCAGTGTACTTCGGTCCTTCTGCCTGCTCTGCTCCCCGCTCTGGCTCTGGTGAATTCTCTCGCCCTCCCGCGCTTCTGACTGTACCCAGTGCATGTATAAACAAAACAAACAAACAAACCAGCAAACAAATAAATAAAGCATGCCTCTATAAAAAATAAAAAAAAAAAAAATTAAAAAAAAAAAAAAAAAAAAAACAAAGTTGAATTTATCTGGGTCCAAGAAGTCTTCCTGAATTTGTTTATATTATCTGTCTTCCCACCAGACTCTGACTCTTCAGGGAAGAAAATATCATGTTATTCCACTTTGAATATACTCTTCCTCCAGCATGGTGCCTGCGTGAATTCATTAATGAGAAACTTACCCTCAAGAAAATATCTATGTGAATGGAAATACCCAATTGATGCAAGAACTTGACAACATAATGTTTAAGTGACATCACCATAAAATTCCCATAATTTTGAAGGTTATTCACTGGTATCAAACTATGTTTGAAGAAAAAACTTTCTTTATTGAAGCATTGGACTTGTCAAAATACCTCACATTGATGTCCTCATAGAGTAAATAATCTATGATTTATTTTTAATAAAATGAGCCTTTTACCAAAGCCTAGATAGATGGCCATATATTCTTCAGGCCTAACAAATTATGAATCAATTTCTATTGTCCAATAAAATTGCTTTTATGATGGTAGGGATACTAGAGTACCTCAATAGCTAAAACTTTGGATAAAGCCATAAAGTCCAAAGAAATAACATTGTAAAGTAAGTATTACAGATTTTCTATTACTACTGCAATTCCATTACTTTAAATCTTCTTTCAATCTAAGACACTCTGCAAAAGAAATAGTTTTAAAATAGTTTTGCACTATTTATTCATAATTCACTACAATATAAATTAAAGGATGAGATTACAACAAACCTAAAAAAAGCAATCAAACTATGACCTGTCGAAACAGTTTTTAATATTTTAATAGTATGTGAATAAAATATTCTTGCAGAAAATACAGGACCTCCATCCCTAAATATCTTAAAATAATAGCAGAGTGCCTCATAAAAAAAAAAACTTATTTCATTTAGC